GAGGGGAGGACAAGGGGACGGGGGGGATGTCCTGACGGGAGGACAGGGGGATGGGGGTGGTCTGAGGGGAGGACACAGGGACGGGGGGTGGTCTGAGGGGAGGACACAGGTGCACTTCAGAGACTCCCAGGACACTGAAGGAGAGCAGGCCCAGTCCTCTTCCAGGTGCCCTGGCAGTGAGGAGATGCTCACCAGCTGTGTCCCAGACACATAAAGAGAGTGAGCCCAGAGGGCAGGTCGTGGCCATGAACTCTACCCCGCTAAGTGCCCACCTCCGAGGCAGCCTCTACAGCTCCACAGAGTTTCCTGTCTCTCCAAGCTGACATTTGAAGCAGCTGTCACCAGGGTACCTTTGCGGTGGCTCCTGCCTTTGGAGACCCCACAGTTCTCGCTGGGAGGGGCCGGGCCAACTCTGTCATCTGTCTTCAGGTCCTTCTTCTCCTCCGACTCAGCGAGGGCAGAGACGAAGCCTTCCTGCTCCTGCGTCTGGGCATTCTGCTCGTCCACAGCTGGGGGAGACAGGGGGCTGAGCGCAAGGACGGGGTGCCAACTCCCCACCTCTCAGCCCGGAGCCTTCCAAGGTCGTCTCCGCGGAACGCTGCATCCCGACGCCACCACCCTTGTCATCTGGAAGCCCCCCTGCGGCCTGCGCGGCTGACGGTTGGGTCTACCAGCTGACGAGGCCGCCTGCTCAGAGGGACAGGTCACCTTTCTCCGTGTGCTCGATGATCTGGCGGATGGCCTTCTTCAGGCTGTTGGCCCGGAGCATGAGCTGCTCGCGAGGCCGGAAGATCTGCGGCCGCGTGGGGCACACGGCACGGTCCCCGGACGAGCTGCACACGCTGCCAGGCCCGTCCCCGTCCTCGGCCTCTTCAGCGATGGTGGGCGGCGGGTTCGACAGTGACGAGGAGGCCTGGGACTCGTCGTCCAAGGTCTTGAGGAGAGAGTCCAGCTTCTCCTTCAGGACCGAGCACTGGGGAGGACAGAGTGGCGTGGAGGGCCGGTCCTCACAGCCGAGCCCCCCGACCGCCCTCTGAGGCACCCCAGGAGCAGACCTTCTTGGCCATGACCTCCGACTCCTCGGAGCTCTCGGTGGTTTTCTCATAGGCCTTCCCCACACGAGCCACAAAGTCCTTCACGGTCTCACAGAGCACTCTGAAAGGACACACACAGGGTCACTCCAGAGAGGTCTGGCGGGAGCCAGCACGTGGGCCCCCAGCTGAGCCCCTGTGCCCGCGACCTCACTTAGCTGAGGAGATCACCACCGAGTGCTGGTCAGAGGTCAGGATCTTAGAGAGATGGGCTGCGACGGAATCTTCGTAGACAAGGATCTGCTGCACCTGAAAAGCCCCAAACAAGAGGAGGGGGCTCAGCGACGGAGCGCCTGGCCACCAAGTCAAAGGGTTCCACGCCCACATCGCTCCCAGGGGAGGTGGCTTTCCTAACTTAAGCCGTCTCACACAGCCCCGGCTTTTCGTCCCATCAAACGCTGACCTAGACCAGAGCTACGTGGCAGACTTCACATCTCCGTCCACCTACTGGACGTGGGTAACACAGGGGAAGGAGCTTTAACTAAAACGCACAACCATCCTGGGCCTCTGGGGGCTGAGGTTTAAAAGACGCTGCCTCAACAGCAAGTCCAGTGTAGGTGCGGGCGAGGCCTCCTGTCCCCCGGTTTCCGGGCAGGGCTCTAGCTCTCACTCAGCTTCGCAGGACCCACCTCGGAGTCCTCGCTGAAGTCCTCGGTGACGGTGGACGAGGAGGCCTGCCTCGGGAGCTTGGTCTCGTACGCCATGATACTCCACCTGCAGACACAGCGCGCTTGCACGAGGTCCCAGTGACCACGAGAGTGGCGGCTGAGGACTCGTAGACCCATGAATTCCTAGCTCCATCTGGAAGCCCTTGAGAAGGGCTCCATGGCTCCCCAGACATGACCACCCTGACCTCATTTAGCTGAGAACAACTGTGATTTCATCTCCATCAAGAGCAGCTGGCCCTCAGGAAGGGGCTGGAATCGGTCCTTCCGGTCAGCTGCACATCTCGAAAAAAGGGTTGACCCTTGTCCCAGCAGCTGCCGGGCGGTCCACACACAGCCGGACCCCTGGAGGCTGTGACGCCCCCCAAGGAGGCAAGGAAGCCGGGTCTCCCTTAAGCAGCCGTCCTTGCCGCTCAGAACCAGCCCTCAGGGCAACAGGAAGCCCATCAGGCCCCGTTCACCCCAGGCACGCCTCGAGAGAAGCCCGGGATCTACTTCCAAAATCGCAGCCCTGAAAACCCAGTGAAGCCCAGTCTCAGACACACACCGGAAATGGAGAGTAAATGCTTTTTAGGTGCGTGGCCAGGTGGCAGAAGGCACTATGCTTGAAAATGATGCCAAAAACCTTCAAACACATGGATGCTATTTATCCAGAACACACGACCTCCTTCCTCCAGAGCCAGAATGTAGACATGGGACCCTGGGAGAGGGAGCTTTGCTGGCAGCACGAAGTCCTGGGCTGGGATGGTCAAGGTTACAGAGTGTCCTCTCGCAGCTCTGCGGCTGTCAGAGCCTGTCTCTGGTGAAGACCTGGCCACCAAGGTAGGACTTCCAACTCCTCATGAACAAGGGGTCCTTTCCACACACACTCGGGTCAGATGCAGGGAGCTTGGAGGGCTCAGTCTCCACACAGCCCAGGTGAAGACGCCTGGTCGAGGGGATCATTTCTCAGAGCGTGTGTCCACTCACCTGTCCAGCATCTTGGTGCTGGCCCGCTCCAGCTTCTCCAGGATCTGGGGCAGTTGCGTGTCATCATCACAGGCTGAGCCCCAGCCCAAGACTCGCGCCAGGTCATTCCCGGTCCCCAGGGGCAGCACGCCCAGCTGACACTGACCAGATGGCAGGACAATGTGAGTGTCTGCACCTGAGACAAGGACCCCAACTACCCCACAGC